AAGAACAAAACAGTTTAATTGAAAATCATAAGTCACAAGGAGTGGATGCATCTGCGCCACTGAGAACGATTTTGAACCATGTCACCAATTGTCTCCAGTCATCTGCTTTTAACATCCCGAGGACCCCAACCAGGAAGTCTACATCTTCCTACGTGGCTTAGACTAACTGTTGTGGATTTCATTGACTGGTGCCATGTTTTCGTTTGACCGCCTCTGGCTCTTTTCCAGCCTGGCCCTATATCAGCTAACATTGCCCGTCGAGGAAGGCGATGACTAGGCATACGTAACACATTTCCTAACCATCTCAGTCGATGCAATTTCACAGTCTCGTCGACTGATTTCCCCACCTTACCTAGCACACGACGCCTAACCTCAATATTGCTCACCTTATTATTCCACTTCACACAGGAGATAGAACACAGGCACCTATGATCAAAGACAGCTAATCTTTTCATGTCTTCTGTTCTCAATGGCCAGGTCTCACAGCCATAAAGGAGGACGGAGCGGACTGTTGAGCAGTACACACACCCTTTGGTCGATAGTCGGATATCGCGTCTACGCCAGAGACGGCGTAAACTGGCATATGCGAAACTAGCCCTCTGTATTCGTGTTGAGATTTCGTCTGAGATCAACACGTTTGGGCTGATGGTACTTCCCAAGTAAGTGAAGCGGTCAACGCGCTCTACCACTTCACTTCCAATTTCTAATCTAGGGGTCGGTGAAGTCCAATCCTGCAGCATCATCTTACAATTTACAGGGGCGAATCGCATGTCGAACATACGAAGATTGTTGCTCAAGGTGTTCAGTAGACTCTGCATTTTGTCAGCGTCCTCGCCGAGAAGGACTAAATCGTCTCCGCATATTCTAAGTCGACGAGATTCTTCCCTGGTAGCAAGTCTATCCCTGAGTCGCTGAAGTGTGTTAGGGTTAAGTCCATTAGTACGTCTATGATGAAGTTGAATAGGAATGGGGATAATGGGCATCCTTGACGGACGCCACTAGTCGTCGCCACTTCGGATGACAACTCGCCATAAGCCCTCACCTGGCTGCATGAGTACGAGTAGAGTGCCTTAATCAATGCACTGTATTTTCTTGGCATTCTCTTTACAGCCAGGTACCGCCAGAGAACCTCTCGGTCGACAGGATCGAATGCCGCATTTAGGTCAAGAAATATAATGATTGTCGGACGCCGGTAGGAATGCCTATGTTCTAGAATCTGTCGAAGGGTGAAGATATGATCACTACACCCTCTTCCTGGCCTAAAACCTGCCTGGTTTTCTTGTGTTTGTGCCCCCCGAGCACCACTTAGTCTACGCAGTATTATTGAGCCTAGGATTTTAGATACTATATTAGTCAAGCTAATCCCTCTGTGATTATCACAAGAAGACTTGTCTCCCTTCTTGTATATCAGGATGATCAGTGACTTACACCAACCCGATGGGACTTCCTCTGATTGCCAGACGCTGTCGAGAACCTCAGTTAATGCAGACATTAAACTGTCTCCACCGTACCTAAATACCTCTGGAGTCATTCCATCAGGTCCCGCTGCTTTGCCTTGCTTCAGCTTAATGACAGCTTTAGTAACCTCAGTTAAGGACGGAGGACCTGTGTCTATCTCCCATTCAGGGAGGTGTTGGATGTTCGGCAGGTTAAGTGTGGCTGTAGGCCAATTAAACTGCTCCTCATAGTGTTCTTTCCAGCACTCCAGTCGTCTATCGTGGGAGCTAATTATGGTGCCATTTTTCTCCGATATTGTTTCGCTTATCATTTGCCTTTTGCCACCTGTTTCCCTGATAAGCTTGAATAGTTGTCTGGTGTTGCCAATCGCCGATGCCTTTTCCATCTCTTTCGCTTTTGTTGCCCACCACTGTTCACGGTCCTTGCAAAGACTTTTTGTTAGTCTTCGTTTAAGTACCTTTCGCTCCTCATCATAATCAGAGCTCGCTGGAATCAGTCTTTTTGCGCCAATCAGTTCGGATGAGGCGGTAGAGATCCAATGGCTTTTATTAACTTTAGGTTTTAGCTTATTGACAGCTTTCACGGCTGTGTCCATAGCTAACTGTACGTTGTGCCAGGCTACCTCAGGGGAAGTCCTCAGACCTCAGAAACTCGTTTCGCTATTTCTTTCTTTCTCAGTGTCACGATCTAGTTGGGGACGTAACTGTTTCGCTGCCGTCAGTTTATGCCCATTTAGTCGTAAGCACAAACGTGCGCGAACCAGAGCGTGATCAGAGTTTATCGAGGTTTCAGTCACGCAACAGCTTCAAACAATACATGTAAATCGTTGCGTAATGCAGGTGATCGCACATGGTTAGACAATCCCATGACGGCTATCATCACACAATACTTCATGCTTCCAGATACTCATTTCGAACTTACGAATCCTCAAATACGCACATCTGTTAGGTTTTGGGTCTAAAGATATGATGAATTTTGGGAAAAGTAACTCATTCTGACTTAACTAAAGTCACAATACTTTCACTAAATCAACTTTCTTTCAAAATTATAACAAATTTATCGGCTAAAATCACGAAGGAGCATTCGAAAAAGTGCAGTACTTATTGATATATTTCTTTGCTACACTAAAGTGTAGCAAGAATTAGTGATCAGCTTCCAAAAATATGAGACATTCATATTAACTTGTTTTGTCGCTGAGTTTCAACTGCCAAACCAAAACTAAGGTTGGTGGTGAAAGTATGGGGATATCTTAGTATGAAATGCTGTTCTTGAAGTAATAATATGATAATGGAAATCAGAAGACGTAGGACATAACAGAATTCGAATGAGTAGCCATGCAGCGTTAACAGAACACATGGAAGGAAGCATTTGAGACATCTAAAATAGTTAGGTACACAGTCCCACCGCACTCCTAGAATACCAAACCTGTTAAATGTGTAGACATCCAAAGTAGATAGAAACAAGTAGCATGTCCAAAGTACGTCAGAAAATGAAGAACTATAATTGTAGTTTTTTCACAAGCAAGTGATGCTATGAATATAAGGTAGGCACTGGAGAGAATGTAACTTGTGAAAAATTCCATTTCTTAAAGAAAAGTAAAATACTGAAATCATTAAAGATGAAACTGTTACAAAGCACTTGTTTGGAAACATGGTTTGACAACTTTGAACCAAAGGAAACTTCGAATCAGGCTTCTCTGGATGACAGCAAACACCTGCTCAATACGATTACAATTGAAACTTCATTAACAATATGAGCTGTTACTGAATTCAGGTTTTGCAGTCATTAGTATACAATCCACATCTTTCCTGTTAAATAAAACTCCGGATTTTATCTATATTAGTTACGCCAATGTTATACACCATACAGTTAATAAATAAGCAACATTCTTTGTAAAATCTCACAACCACATCAGTGTTAATGTTACGTGTGAAAACAGTTAACACTGAAATGCATTTACTATTCAAGTAGTAATTCTTCCAATGCATATGGTTTGCGAAACTTAGCTGGAGGACTTATCAAAAGTCTGATGGATAAAGTCAAAGACAAAGCACCAATTAGGAACTACACTTTAATTGTAATCATTGGAACGATCTATTGACTGATAGGGAAAATTTAACACTTGGTTCATTGTCGAATTAGTGTCATCAGTCTCTACGTCAGAACAGGAAAATCTGGGCCTTAATTTAATGACCCCATGAGGAGCGACTTTATTTGCACTAAACCTGATACACTCATATAAGGCTGCAACTATCTATGTACAACTTTATCAAACAACAGCAATAACATAGTGAAAAGAACACTCAACATTCGCCAGATCCAGACATATTCGGTAGTTCAGTATTTTAAAATTGAAATTTTAGCAGTCAGATCCAAACGTGAATAACTTAGTTAAAGCATATATTTCAAACATGCTTTGAGCGCAACCACATATTTAAGCTTCCACAATGATATTTTGGAGTAAGTAATTTATCATTAAATTGAAATGGGCAACACAAAAACTCAAATCATCAAGATGTTTCGGGCAGGTATCTTGAGAAAGTTTTATTACCAAACTCAGACTTCCCGAGGAAAAATGGACACGTAACCTGACTTGTGGTTCCTAACCAATTTCACCCGAAAAAGAGATCAAGGTATCAAAAGCTACTGTTTAATTAGACAGCTGATTGAACCCTCAAGCTTACAACAATTCTTAACTATGCGTCGACAATGCCTTTAGATGTTGAATGAATGTTTTATCTACCTAATATTAACAGTAAGCGCTGAATTAACTCATTTTATTCTGAAGTAATGCCAGTCAGTGCTGAATCTGGGCTAAGAGGGTTGAAACACTGCTGATTAGCGAACGCAGTAGGTAGTGAGCTATTTCTGAAAATGCTTAGAATTAGCACAAAGTGCTGAATTGGTGCAAGTCCTGCTGAAAATCAGTAGAGTCTTAGTTTGTGCGTATAATCAAGCCATTTTAGAACAATTTCAGAATTTACTCATTATAGAAAGTCCGATTTAGTTCAGAATTCGCAAGATTTAATTCGGCATTATTTGAAGCTTGGGCCACGTAAAATACCGATGATCTTGTTTAAAAACAGAACAATTCCTGAAAAATATACTCCTGGACGTGGACTTCATTGTTTTTTGTTCACAGTTTAGGCACATCACAGAACATTTCACGAGTTTTAATAGCTATGCAATTATGAATGAACACGTTGTTGCACTCGGAGCATAAGGCCATTATACGTGCACGATAGCAAACAAAACACACTATTAATTAAATTTCTTCAACTACGATTACATTAAGAGAAAAAAAACCCGTATCCAACGTGATAAAATGAAGAAAATATAACTTGCCGACTTGGCGTGTCTTTATAGTTGCCGCCATTTTTGTGAGTAATTTAAATACTTTAATCAGTATATAAAATTTCACTACATTCAAGTTGAAAGAATTAGACATCGTATAATAGTCGAAATATTTTGTTAAATTGTATCAATTTTCTTGCCTAGCGCCTTTTTCAAATTGTGCGATGTCCAGTTGAAGTCCGGATGTAATGGGGACTAACATGCAAACAATTAAGTGTGTTGTTGTTGGTGATGGTGCAGTTGGCAAAACTTGCCTACTCATATCGTATACAACCAACAAATTTCCGACTGAATACGTCCCGACTGTATGGTTAACTTCGTCTAATATCACATTTTTAGGTTTTCGATAATTATGCCGTTACGGTAATGATTGGAGGAGAACCGTATACTTTGGGACTTTTCGATACCGCTGGACAAGAAGACTACGATCGATTGAGGCCTTTGAGTTATCCGCAAACTGACGTTTTCCTTGTCTGCTTTTCTGTTGTAAACCCTTCGTCTTTTGAGAATGTGAGAGAAAAAGTGAGTATCGTAAATAATTCTTTTTACTTGGTCAGTCATTCTGATAACCTTGACTGATTACAATGTAAGTACTGCTTCCGTTGTTGCGTGGTTTAGGAGTTCTCTCGAAGTTAGGAATGCAGTAATACAACAATTGTTCTGCAGATATGTCTAGTCTGTTTATTCATACCATCTATTTGATTTTATATAGCAGTGTGCTCAGGAACCTTGTAAAGGTGGTGGCTATTGACTCAAGTGAGTTATCAACCAGTTAACCTTTATGAAAGCAATTTGGTTAGCAACATGAATAAATTGAAACTCGAAGAAAACGTCAGACGGAATAGCAATCTCTAAAATGCCCAGAAATTGTTTCTTCGACTTTTATGTAAGGTGTTTGTACTGAATCAGTCCAAATTGTTTTGCAAAATAACCGTCTCATGCTGACACTAATTTATCTTTTACATGTTGTTTCTGATCTCTAAATCCCAGCTGTTTTTAATGAGCAATGCTGATGTGTGTGATGCTGAACCGTGAATTCTAACTGAACACAATATTTTTTTTGTTTGGATGATTAAAATGATGTTCATTATCAATATGTCAGTGCATTTTCATCTTGACTGGTTAAGGCCCGTATGCCTGGTTGTTTTCTTAGTAAGGTACGTCCAATCTTATACAAAATGGACTACAAGTATAACCTAGAATTTATAACTCTTTGGTCAATATCTGGAGCTTACGATGATAGTGTGGCTCACTGTTTTAGGCACTTGGATTCTAACCAATATGTCGCTGCTCTGAACTCATTTTGACGTATATTTCTTTTGAAAGCCAGATAATATCAGTTCGTTTCCCACTAGACGTCACTAATGTCAATATCTGTATCCAAAGATTGCTAACTCTATAATCTCTTACCAATTAAAGCTTAGTTCTCAAACTCTTTTTTGTGTATTTATACTCGTGGTGGATTGTCTTCGTAAAACCTAATAATTAAAATACCTGCTTTTCTTGTAACATTACACCACAAACTAGTGTTCCTGCATAGTCATCAATGACTTTCCATATGCTTGTCTGTGTTTACTATGTGTATTTATTTTGAGGTTGGCTTTTCATCTACGTAAGCACCAAGTATTTCTAAAGAACACATTAGTTTGTCATGTGCTTTTCATTATTATACTGTTCAGGTTATGGCTGACGATCTCACTTTGTAACGTTGAATTTTGCACAAGATGTATCATTTCAAGTTATTAAGCTCAAAGAAAACAATAAATGTTATGAGAATACAATAGGTACAAATTTTTGTGGAGCAAGGATTTATACTAAAACTGTTTCCAAGTTCTCATTTGCCGAAATTCTAGTGATTACAAGTTAGACCACGAGGTAACATCTGTTAGAGAACTACTGAACCTGAATTCTATGAGTTCGATCTCTGGTGGTGTCACGTGTGTGTGCTACTTAAAAGTCTCAAACAGCGAGACAACTTTGCAGTAGTCTCTGGTTTTCAGCGGATTTCTAACTGACAGAAATTAGTGGTGTAACTGTAAATAAAGTTTGATGAAGCTATTTGGGATCTGAAAGTTGACAGCCAACGACTTGGTCGATTTATGTCAAGTTCTAACATGTTTTTGCAACCTAATTCCATTTTATATATGTCTTCCACTTTCACTGGCCATGTATCACTTCTGCGCAAGTTATATCACTGCACCAAAGATGACGCCAGATAGCAAATGCCGAACTAACTTTTTTATGCCTGCTGAGAATTCATCTGCAATCATGCCGCTAGGGTTATTGCAATTCCCCAAATAAGTAAAGAAATCATCGCGTGCAATTACATTCCACGTTACCTCTGAACTAGGGTTCGATCCAGACAAATCCTGTTGTTCCTACATTTGACAGCATCAAATATTCTCAAGATTTTACTCAGGGTTCCCAGAAGACTACATTTTATTTAGCGTCTTCACCTAATCAGACTATGTAGTCTAGACACTACAAATCGACGAGTCCATTTCACAGCAGTAGTTTTGATATCCATCACACGTTAGAGTAAGATAAAATAATATCATTGACATTTGCACTCCTGAAGAACACTACTGACTGTTGTCACTTTAAACGACAACTCTTGGTAAGTTGTATGCTATATTAGTCATGTTGATATCTCTGTAATTATCACAAGAAATTTATTCGCTTTCTTATAAACTGTGATGCTCAACGACTTACACCGATCCTGTGAAACTATCTTGGATGCTCATACGGTTATAGCCCAGTTACTATATCATCACCTCTATCTTCAGAGCCATTTGGAATAAATCCACCAGTTCCTAGTCCTCTGCCTTGTTTTGGATTGAGGACAACCTCTGAAGTCTTGGCAAGATTTACATATACTTCATATTCTTATTGAAAAGCCAAACATTTCAAGACTTCGTTGCTGCTCGCTTTCCGTATACCTTCAGTCACAGGCAAAAACATGCACAAATTGATTTATGATACATGCAGGTAGACCCGAAAGTGTGACACTTCCATTTATATGGATGATTTTCAGAAGGGTGATCTGTTTGTATCAATAGTTGACTTAATGTTAACTGTTATCATGCGAGACAGTATCTTTTTTATTCTTGAAGTTTGTGCTGGTCATTGATATAGGAACAGAACTTAGGCACTGTGATGAATAATAATTCCATCAGGGAGAAAGTTTATTTTGATGAAGTTTCGGTGTTATTCGGTAATATTTACTGACGTTTCGAACACAATTTATGGCTCATATTCGTATCAAGTTGTGCTGGGCTGGTCATCTAAACAAAATTGTAAAAAGTAATATCTTTCATCGATGCGCTACTCCGTGAATACTGCTACTACACTTCTTGCCCTAGTTCAGCCCCCTTTCTTAAGCAATAAAACAACCCTACAATATAACCATAAGTGAACATTTTACGTTCAGCAGTAAATTAGAAAGTTTTAGATAAAATCCATCCTTTACTGGAAATTTATTTCTCTTTCAATACGTGAAAGCGAACAACGATTGGCTTTACAAATGGTACAAACTATTCACATAAGGTGTACCCACAGCAATAGTTTCGTTTCTATAGGAGACCTTCCGAGGTAGGATTAGTTGGGTTGCAGTGTCTGGGGTCTACATTTCAGAACGCCTTTTTAGGACAGGTTAGCGTAATTAGCTTGCTACATCCCTGTGGCCAGCAATACGATTTCTCTTTCAGTCACCCACCAATATATATGTATGTACGATGGTAACCACTGTTAGTTTAGCAGCTATACAGCTTGCCTTGTATTGTCAAAAACGACATCTATCAGTGCATTCATTTTTAAGAAAGCAAGAAGATGAGGTTGGCTGATGAACAGAAAAGTTTTGTGCGCTTGTGGAAGTGTGTAGACAGTTATTGCTTACTGGCTACCCACACTGCAACAGTTGGTTTCCTCTTTAAATACCCGCAACAAAGAAGGCATTAGTGTTATGTGACCCACGAGTCGAGGAGTCATCTGACTGTAAGGCTGATCGCCTACAGTCTTTTGGAATTGTGTCGCTAGGAAGACCTTAAAATTGTAGAGTAGGTTGACCGTTTCCAGTCCACCCTCCCAGGATTAGGAGGACAACATAGCTGACTGTCTGAATGAAACACAGACACTCCCAACGTAGTGTGAACGACACTGATGGTAAGAGGTCTCCGAAACGCTTAAAATTAGCGGCTACAGACTATTGGTGGTATGTCTCACGATCATTCTCATTGGTGCAGATGCGTTTACTCCCTGTGATATACCAAACCCATCAGATTGTAATTATTCTCCACATAGTCTTTTTCTCCGACGCATTTACGTTATAGTCCTCTTGAAATTTTTCTTCTAACTTTGTGTGCTTTATGGGGTGTAGCAACCTGAATTTCTGCACTTTTGTGCGACGTTCTACGTTGAAAATTCAGTTCAGTCATTCATTTGTAGGTATTAATAGTTACTTGTGTGAAAGGTATTGTCAACTGACAAATTAAATTGATGATTAACTGCTGACCACTAGAACCACTAAGATTATCGTAACATCTCACGTAAACTTGGTAATGTATATTGAAAAGCCAACTTCTCTTCGTAGAACCATATCGTCTGTCTTGCACTTTCAGTTTCATATTATGGAATCGACCGTATTTATTTTCGTATGCAGGTGTAACTGTTCTTCCAAGTTTCTTTAAAGTCGCAATGCGTTAATGAAATTATAACATACAATTAATCTAAGATCAGTTATTGACGAGATTGTTATCTTTAACTTTTAGTGGGTCCCAGAAATTGTACATCACTCAGCTAAAGTCCCATTTCTTCTTGTTGGAACACAATGTGATCTTCGAGGTGAAAGTGCCACTAGAACTCATCTTAAGAATAATAAAATGAAAGAAATCACTACTGAACAAGGTGAACAGCTCGCCAAAGAACTGAAAGCTGTCAAATATGTGGAATGTTCGGCCCTCACCCAGGTAAGTGCTTATTTACTATGAAACTGCTAATGGTTTGTACAATCATGCTAATTATTTGGTTATATATTCAGTTCAAGTGAAAATACATGTCGGCTACAAATTAGGCTTGGGTATCAGGTCATAAACTCTACATTATGTAAGGGGTTCTCGTCAGTAGCTGATCGTAAGCCAAAGCACATGACTAAAACAAAGGAATTAGAGATATGCTGAGTACAGAGAACAGTTAACCATATCTCTACCAACCGGCTTATACTATCTTATTATAGTATTCGTATAAACGTTAGCGCGTTTAAAGTAGGATATTTGTGGTTTTCACCTTGGTAGTGTGATTGAACTTGTCCATTTGTAGACTCAGTCTTCACGCGCAAATATGACAAAAGATGACATTTAAATTTCGTCAAGACTTCAGTTTTAAACATTTTTTCAGTGGTACGTTGATCAATATCTACGTTAAATATAAACATAGTATAGCTAACATGCCAAGAAGCATAGTTCGCGTGTGATACCTACCGTGTGTCATATGCCGAATGTAACTGTAAGTGTTCACTAAGGGTTATCTGCAATCGAAGTCCTTTTGATCTGTCAACTAAATTAGCGTGTAACCACTTTTGGAGATGTAACTCATACTGTTGAGCAATTGACATTCACCCACTGAATCGCGAGTTTTAATCCAACACTACCTTATCCAAATGTGGCAACTAGGTAGTAGCATCAACCTTTACACAATGGGTGCAACTCATAGCCTGACAAGAAAAATGTATCCGGAATAACTAAATGCAAACTTTTGACCTTTTGTTTACGCAGTTAGAATTGCTTAAGGTCTTCAACTTTCTCTGCGTAATTGGTTACACAATTTTTCGGTTTGTTTGTGCAAAGGACAATCAAGCTAAAAGGATTTGTTAACATTTTTAATTCTTTTATTATCGATGGTATTCGTCCCTTGTAATCCAGTTGGAATGCAGAGCCTCAGCGTCACATCTTCACTTCACTCGGTTTTCTGTTACCACTATAAACTAGCACCACCACTACCATAAACAGTCCTTCTTTATGTCAACCTCGGATGCCTACCTCGTCGGTTTTCATCAGGTTTTCACTCAAGGGCTTGGCGTTTGACGTCACTTGAATGTTCCTTCAACGCATGTCCACACCCTTTACGGTTCTATCAGTCTGCTGTCATAGTCCCTTGTCAATTATCTTTTCTGACTGGACATCTTATCTTCAGTATTGGGCTAGCGAATGCAGCAGTTGATGAAAGTTTGCAACAGGCTGTTGGAAATGCTTTTGGTGGCGCGCGCGTGAAGTCCTTGGACCATATAAAAGGCTGACTTGGCATTAATAGTAAATAGTCCGAAAGAAAATTCAGAAAAGTAAAATACTTTTTTATATGTTATCTATTACTATGAGGTCAGGTGCAATTTTTGCAGCAAATAGGGTATGATACTGTTTATATTAATAACATCAAATTTTGTTTTATCATGTAAGTGGTGTATGCAGTTAGTTGAGATTTGTAGTTCCAGATCAAAGTGTCTCGATGTACATCTTACTTAAGTGTTCCGTTGCAGCTTTACATACTTTATTACGGCACGAAAGAAATCTAAGGAAATTGAGTGTTGCTAGGATAGTAAAAGCAGACGCATTGAATCTAGATGAGATAAATGTGTGTTACTGTTATTTGTCTTATATTTTAGCCGTCAATTCCAATAATTTATATCCCTTACAAAACATGTCATATGCATTAATTTATTTTATTTACGTAGAGTGGCTTGAAAAATGTATTCGATGAGGCTATCCTTGCTGCTTTGGAGCCACCACGAATTCGTAAATCAAGGCGATGTTCTTTACTGTAAAAGAATTCAGTTCATTTTTCCATTCATTATTTCCATTACTAATTTACAATTACTACTGAGAGCTACTGGTAGTAATATTATCTTATATGAAATATTAACTGTGAAAAGTGTCTTTCCTTTAGCTCCGGTCTCTATTCTTCCCTCCCTTCCCACTACTGCCTCCTACAAAGAAATACATATATATTACTTATTGTTTCCCACATATTTTACACCGAATATCTTTGTAACGATGATAATTATGATAATAATAATAATAATAATAATAATAATAATAATAACTTCGATGATAAGCATACGTTCTTTTCAGTTTGTTGCACTTGTAAACGCTTATAAAATGTTTTTTTCCAAAACATCCTTTGCACACTTTTTGAAACAGTCTTTTATTCTAGACATGTGGCCTTGTTTCCCCACTATTCGTTACTTTCTTTGCTCCACTAGACGGTGATCTTGCTGTTAATTTTTTTGACATTACTATTAATAATGCTCTTTGTTAAACACGACAATGCATCGACAATGACTTTTCTCTTTAAATTGTGAAAGGAAGGTCGGTGTTTAGTTTTGCATTTCCGATTGATTGAGTGCAGGGTTCGAGTCCCGGCGAAAACACCATTCCTGTCCATCTCACTGAGGAGGCAGGCGCACGCAAATGACGAGTCCTTAACAGGATAAAATGTACATCACCACCAACAAAAATAATATGAATTTCACATTGTTAATTTTAATCAGTATACTTGTCACCCGGAAGAATCGAATTTCATCGAAAGATTACTGTAAAGAGGTTTTACGGTCTATTAGTGTAGATAACTTTTTACAGTGGTTGAGATTTTTAGTTTAAAAAGTGAGAATGAGGTAATATGGTAAACGAATCTATCGCATCTTAGAGTTCAATAGTAATAATAAATTGATTATTCTTTTGAGAAGCTGTGAGTTATTGATTAAGGCTTACCCATAATCCATTCCTTTGATTACTCTACTCCATCTGCTAGGTTGCGAGTTTCAAGATAACTCGTTCCGCCATTCATATTGTATGTCCGTGATATATATATATATATATATATATATATATAATTTACCAACTATGCCAATACGTCTTAGAGTTCATAGTGTGAACTGCTGGCGTAAAATTTAGTTGTAATGGTGTCTGAAACCATTGAAATCGATAGTGAAATACTGAAACTAAAGCTTCACAACTTAGCTTTCAAAAACGAATTGAGACTCATAAATTTTGTGGTGTAGTTTTTGAGGTAAGTTAAATGTTGTGAGCATTAAAAGGAAATTAATTAATTCTCTGAGCGATTGCACTTTTTGTTTTCACTATGACAATATGAATTCAATTGGCAAATGGTCTTTGCAACAACCTCATTTGCAATGTACTCGTACTTTTGTCTCCTAGACATTACTACTTGCATTTAGTTTGTTGGTTTGTGCTTTCGAAAGCATGGGGCTTAGAAAAAACACTACCAGTATAACTTCTGAAAGATTTTAGCGACTAAACTGTGATAATTTCATGTTGTTTGAATTGTATGCACCGTTGTAAACAACAGAAGTCGTGTGTTTGTAACGAAGAAATAGCACAGCGGTCACTGTTGTGTAACGGAGTCTCAGTATTACAGTTTACTTCATTGTTTTAAACTCCTGACTTTGAACCAATGGATTCAGAATTCGTCATTCCTTTGCGTTCCCAATGAAACATTGGGCTTCACTCTTGAGCTTTGAAGTTTTATTGGCATAGGTGTCTCTTTTTACGGGTGCGGTTGCTGGTTTCACGCCCAATCTTCCCTCTTTACCGGGCCTGCTACCGTCTGATCGAGGCTTTAGGAGTGCGGGAGTGAAACCCGAATCAGATGCGTGGTTAGCGTTCTACAAATGGTGGAATCACAGATTCAGAACTATACAAACGTGTTATTCACGCTTTTCGTGAACTTATACGCATTGTGACTCATTAAAATGAAGCCGGGTTGCTGATTGAACTCAACACTTGAACAGTTCACTATTATCTTCTGTCTGTATGTAAATATTTACGCACCAATAGTAAAACATTGTCAAATAATATAATTCATCTCTGTCATTATTTATGCATGAAGAGTTATCAATTTTAGACCAACAAATCAATGTGACGATATGCGCGACACAACAGACTAGGTATTTAATTTAGATTTCCTCTTAGAAAAAAGTTATCAGTAGGTCATTGAATGACTAAGAAGAATAAAGCTCTTAAGAGGATTGGACTCTAAGTCACCGTATTCATTGGATATTTAATAGTATAAAACACTAATTCCTCTGTGTTTATTAACGTTATGTAGGTGTGTTTACAAATAGTTTTGAAACTCCTATCTCTAAGATTTCCGATCATATCATTAAGTACAGCAGTTGGAGATGTTATTTTTGGTTGTACGAATGCCTGTTTTTTTTTATAATGTACTGCTTTTTTACTGGTGTTCATCGAAATGTACATTCGTGAAGGATGGACGGTCGCTTTACAAACTAAGCATGTTGCCAAATTTCAGAGTACCAATAAAGTGCTCACTAGTAAACTTGCTTCTAGAGAGATTTCTCGAAGGTTTAATCAACAGCTGTGAATATGAAGGTTCATGTTGTATGTAAATACAGACTAGTTCGATCAGTCAGAATTTAAATAATACAAGTATCAATTTCCTAAACAATCAGATTTCACCACATTGATTGATGCCTAAATGTTAATCAGACTTCATCACGTTGATTACCACTCATTAATCAGCCCAGTGTTTGCAACATATAATTGATCCGTAATAATTTTTGTATGATTATTGTGATTATATATTCGTAATTACGACATCTCTCACTCGCTCGTTTGAAAATACAAGTTTCTGATATTAATGCGTGAATCTTTTTGAAATTGCCAGTTTGTGTCAGGAAAAATCTGCTAAGAAATCATCAAACGTTCAATATTGTTAACGTCGCTCCTGCGAAGGCTTAGTAAACATAAGAGTTCATCATTTCGGATGCAACAACAAATAGTTAAATTTACCGTATTCGATAGTAGCTGAGCTACATGACGAAATGGTTAATGCTTAATAGATTCGACTGGGGTGAAGCTGTGCCAGGTACTAATGCCATCCAAGTTAAATCACAAACTGACATCAGCCAGAAAACTAGGAAATACTAGGCATCTGGTTTGGGACTCTTCGGTAGTCTGAAACCATGACCCTGCCAGGTATCGGAACTACAAACTTCAGGTTACAAGGTAACCCGTTTACCATTCTGTCAGTGCGACAGAATCCAATTGCCGATGAATTTTAACTTCTGAGTATTTGCGATATGCAGCATCACTTGCTGCCAATATCATTTGCAATTTTCTGTCCTCATACCGGACTTTGTGTACCCTACTGGTCATCAAATTCTCAGTACAACTGACTGTAGTCAGTCAATAGTGAACAGTAGATTAGTTTTCAGGTGCTGGTTCGTGGGGATTTGGATTCATGTTTATTTGTGTTCCGTCTCATTGGCTGGATGGTTAAAAGGTTAGCCTCATAAACTAAAGTTCCTCCTTTCAACGTCTGATGGGGGTCATGAATGCATAATGTTGATTAGTCCCAAACTAGGATGAAGCACCTCTCCAGTAATCCCTGTTTTTCAGTCGTTCTTCAACTAGTGTCACTTTGTGAACTCACTTGAAATCAAATAAACACTTGAATAGTGAGTTGTTTCTTTGTTTTTGAAGCAGTCAGAAGAAAGACATTCACTTGAGTTATGATCATCCTAGTTGCCCCTCTGTTGTTATTTTTAAGGCCTCAACTAGGTAATGTCTGGAGTTTTTATTCATTTCATAGAATTGGCGAAATCATTACATCAGAGTAATTTAGTTCACTCGTTTATGCTAAGTATAATAACAATTTCAAGTACTTTTACTATTTGGTATGAAATTTTTTTTAATTATTTGGACCTGACAAAACAGAAATATTCTGTATTTATGTTGTAAACACATGTTAGCATGATCTGTTTATCGATCATACTTATTAACGTTAGTGATTGTGCATTAATAAGTGACAAATCGATAATATGACTTGCACGTAATATGCATGTGTGTGGTTGTCTTAACATATGTGTGTCTACATTAGTATGAATATTTCAGTGAAGTTGTATGTCGAGTAATTGCACACATGATTATGATTCATATTCACACTAGTCAGATGCAGTATTAAAAATGGTCATAGTGAATAGAGCAAATGTCTATATAGTGTACAATACGCTTGAATGCAACACTAAAAGTAGTGCGACATACACTACTTATATAAATAATCTTGATCTACCATAGTCGGAAAGTATGTACAGCCTGGTATATGTACTTTGACAAAAACAGAGTGATTCCTTGAGCATTCCATGCTAATAATGTTTCATCCTCTTAAATATTTTTCATTTCAAAAAAATCATATAATACGTAAGCTGACTGAAGTTAGAAGTATTACTTATTAAAATCACGTGCTTTTGGTAAAATTCATGAATAATCCCCATCCAGGCATAAATGAAGAGGCTCTTTTGAGTGACTTTATTTCTTTAGCTGTACAATCACCTCTATCAACAGTGGGACAAGTAATTTAGTGAGTTGTAATCAGGATGTACATAGAAACGAAGGAAAAAGCTCCGAAAGGAATTCGACAATTATAAAGAGTTAAAAAACAAACAAAATAACACGGTTGTTACCACGATAGTAGAAGTGGTGGAGTTATTTTCTTTTCTATGCATGGATCCGCTTTCTCCGTCAGAATGGCTAGAGCCTCAGCAATGCAAAGGAGACGAAAGCGTATTTCCTTTGGCAGGTTACCCTCCACCTTGTAGATTCCACTGAGGGAGGAGTTTCTCAAGATAGAATGACCGGTGTTGACAAGGTGTCCAATTATCGCACTTCTTGTAATGACACTGCAACCATGCGGAATAGTGCTCTGGAACCATTTTATACAGGATACGCGTCCAACAGCGAATACACTTAACATTAGCATATAGAAGTGATCAGGTAAGAGATCTCGTTTCTTAGGCTTCTATAGACCAATGGACGACTGAAGAACACTGATCTTAATGTTACTGGGAAGAATGTTCTTTTCAAAGATGCTGGAATTCTTCTCTTAAGGATATCTAGTGTATTACGGAAGAGTTCTAAAAAGTAAAGCCATCATTACGATCTTTTATAGGATCAGAAGTGTGTGATGGGAGAGAAAATGAACTAGTGGACACGGTAAGACAATATTGAAGTCTAGTGGTATTGGTTTC